GACTGAAGCTCCCAGCCTCTTTTTTTTTCTTTTTTTTTAATTCTGGGATTTATTTACCTTCTATAGCTGTCACTGGAGCTGAGAGCCGGCTCCAGCTCTGAGGCTGTGGCTGGCTGAAAGCAGGTATCTGGGTTTGTTTAGCTTCTATAATTGAAACATTGTTGCATCTGGAGCTCAGAGCTGGGCTGCAGCAGGCGGGGAACCTTGGCTTCCTCCGTCACTGGAGCAAGCAAGCCTCCTGCTCGCTTCAGCTGTGTGGCTGCCGGCTGCCATCTTGGTTGGCAGTTAATTTGTATATCTCACTGATTAGCCAATGGGAAGGGTAGCGAAGTTGCAGTTAATTACCATGTTTCTCTATTATTAGATAGGATAACTCAAGTAAAATAGAAGGATTTTAGTTTTATAAGTTCACTTGTCCCATTTCTTCTTGTACTCAAAAATTAACTTTTTTTTACATAGAAGTCTCATCTCCTCAACTAGGTTATTAGTTCTCTAGTGCAAGTAATATGCTTGTGTATATCTTTTGCAGTAGCTATCAGGATGGGCTGTACTTCTCTAATATTTTGTGAAGTAAACTGCAGTGTTTGGTGATTGTCTCATTAAGTTGCTGAGAATAGTATCCATTGTGTGTAGTTGATATTCGTTGTTTCTGGCTCTGATCAAATATCACTGAGGAGGGAAATCTTTGATACAAAATAGAAATCATTGGGTAGGGCATTAGATAAATTTGTCTTGGCCACAAATGATGAGGAGTTTGTTTAGTGAAGTGTGGAGAGCTGCTTATCTGTATGAATTGCTAACATCACATTTAATACTTGTAAGCTCCTCACTGTCTATCCCAGAGAGCCCTCTTCAGTGCCTTTTATGAATTACTCCCTTAAACAATGGATGTGTGCCTGGTGCTAAGTTTAAATAGATATATGGCAGTTCTTTACTGTTGGCAACTCCCAATGGAATCTCTCCAGAAGGGCAATAAATAGGGTAAGCTTAGTCTGGGATTGCCAATTGGCCATGGACTTGTTGCCTAAAGCTACCAGTAATTTAGAAAAGTATCTTTAAAAAGGTATGGTCAAGGATATTCTCTTCTGCATGCATAGGAGAGGCACATTACAAAATAGAGGCCCATTACAAAATGTTCATACTACATGGTAAAATTGAGGGTGGCCATGGGGCAAGAGCCCCACGCACTAAAAGTCAGGAGACTTTGGCTGTCTTTCAAGTTTAATATTATTGACTCATGATTTTAGGTAAGTCACCTCTCTGAGTGAGGCATGTAAAATATAAAATGGAAGAGGGTGTTAAAATTGACACAGTGCTTTTCAAAGTGGTTCTGAATATTGCCTACATCAGAGTGTACACAGTGTGTTAAAATGCTGATTTCTGGGCACCTTCACCCCTCACCTACTGAATCAGAGTCTATAGGGTAAGAGCTGGGAATCTCCACTTTAAAGTAGGGCCCAGGTGAGTTTAATGTACCTTAAAGTGTAGGAATGACTAGATTAATTCACATGTAAGCTCCTTCTAGTTGTAGAATGCTATAAGGCTAATACATATTTATTTGCTAAGTGCTACAGATATTACTTAAAAGACACAATTTAATCTTTGTGCTAGTGATAATTAGTTTGATGCCTACATTTTGTTTTTTCAAATAACATCTTTGGGATTTTAGGGGGCACAAAAATGTTGGGATTCCACTGACTTCCACAGGACAGTGTCTTCATGAATTCTCCATGATCTACGTCTTTTCCTAACTATTGTACAATCAGAAATTATATTTAGTATTATCTTTGACTTAGAATTTAAATTCTGGAAAAGCCAGATGAAATAGTATACCCCACAAAAAAAGGAGCTTTTCTAGAGACCAGATTTCTCCAAAATGAATTTCTCTCCCTTGAACAATCAGGATGGCTAATGACCATGTTTGTCCTTCTGAAACCCCATGCACACTTCCTTGTGTCATCCAGGTCTTTTTCAGATGTGTTAGATACCACCTGTTGGTTAACAATCAAGTTAATCTTCCTGCTTTTGTCCAGTGAACTGGTCTATCTCTTGCTAATAAGTATCAATTCTATTAGTCAAACTCAGAATCTTTGGATTATCTTACCACATCAGAAGTCTCCTAAACAGTATCTATGGAATATATTAATTATAGAAATAAATTCTTTTTAAAATGTTTTTATTCATTTTAGAGAGAGAGGAAGGGAGATGGCGAGAGAAACATTGATGTGAGAGAAAAACATCCATCAGTTGCCTCCCCTATACACCCCACTGGAGACCAAATCTGACCTGGGCATATGCCCTGATCGGGAATCCAACTGGCCACCTTTTGGTCTATGGAAGGATGCTTAACTGAGTCACATTGGCCAGGGCTAGAAATAAATTCTTACAAAATTTGGGGTCATATAGATGCCAATCTGGGAGACATCCATGGATATTTACTTTTAATAACTTTTTATTTTGAGATAGTTGACTATAAGAAGTTGCAAAAACAGTAGAGTTCCATGTACTCTTTGCCCAGCTTTCCCTAATAATAATGCCTTGTATAACACTACTATGTTGTCAAAATAAAGAAGTAAACATTGGCACAATACTATGAACTCAGTTACTGGTGTTATTTAATATATATTTAAAAAATATTTTTATTGATTTCAGAGAGGAAGGGAGAGGGAGAGATAGAAAACATTAATGAGGAGGGAGAATCCTCTATCCGTTGCCTCTTGCATGCCCCCTACTGGGGATCAAGCCCGAAAGTTGGGCATGTGCTCTGACGGGGAATTGAACCCTGACCTCCTGGTTCATAGGTCCATGCTCAACCACTGAGTGCCATAGGCTGGGCCAGATGTTATTAATTTAAGTTGGGGAGTTGTGTGAATGATGAGAAAAGGGTAGGTGACAAGGTGAAATAAAATCCCTTCCCTGGTTCTGTATCGCAGTGCTTATCTAATATTAAGCTTTTATTCTATCTGCCAGGGATTGCAAATTTTTGTCCTCTACACTGTCAGAACAAAAATCTTCCAGAATGAAGCTTCCAAATTGTTGAAGTCGCTGTCGTCATCTGCTGGGAGAGTGAAGTTGCTGCCATCAGCAACCCGGATGAGGCTGCGTGTAAGGATGTATAACATGCTCAGGTCATTCCCAGCCCTAAATGAACGCTTTAGGCTGCTGGAGCCAAGTGTGGTTACTGAGGAAACGACACTCTCTGAAAGTGACCAAGCAAGCATAAGCACCTCCAGTGGTTCTCAACCTTCCTAATGCTGTGACCCTTTAATACAGTTCCTCATGTTGTGGTGACCCCCTACCATAAAATTATTTTCGTTGCTACTTCATAACGGTAATTTTGCTATTGTTATGAATCGTAATGTAAATATCTGATATGCAGGATGTATTTTCATTGTTTGCGACCCACAGGTTGAGAACCGCTGATCTAGACAGTAAAGCTGTTGCCTTTTGTGGTCTCTCTTATTCAACTTATGTGAGTTTTGCTTTTTCTATTTCTTTCCTTTGTTACCCAGTCCTTCAGAAAATTCTCCCTCAATATATTTGGCTCAAGGTTAAAAATCAGGTACAACCTGTGGTTTATTATCATCAGGGATACTGGATTTGGTAGTTTTTTCTATTATTTAACAGATTCTTACCTGAACGAAGTGAAGAATCCCATCCAGCATTCAAAATAATTCAAGATTATCATTGCTCTGTGTATATCATAAAGTCTGTGACTTCAGTAAAAATGTAGAACCTAAACAAAGTCTTTTATGATTTACTACAAAGGATACAAGGAGAAAAATTTACCATCTAGAAAATGATTTCTGATGAACACTGCAAAGAATTGCTTTTATGTATCAGACTTTTGATCTGTGAATACTTAAAATTTGTATGTGCTTATACTTTCCTGTTACTGAGAACCAGAATAAATCAAGCAATGCTCAGAGAGCTTGGAGTCACACTTTATTCACCGCAGTGGGCTTAGAGAAAATGAATTCAAATTCTAAGCAGAGCTACAAGCAGAACTTCCCTTTTTATGAAAGAGCCAGCCCTATGTGTGCTTAGTGGTTATCTCGCTGGTAGCCTTGAAAACTACACAGTTCTATCCAATTAAAAAATACACCTGGCATGGCATTGAGAGTATAGGCATATCTAGTCTCTGGCCTACAAAGTCAGACAGCTAAGTTTATCTTCCTCATTATTCAAACAGGCTAAAGCAGGCTAGAAAGCAAAGTTATTTTTTTTAGAATAAGAGGCCGTCTAAAAAATAGCAGAGAATTCCAAACAGTAGTTTTTACAAAACAGGGGTTAGCCTTCTCATTCCAATTAAGAATTTTGTATCCATTTAACCTCTGGAAAGGGAATTTTTTATTTTTTTTTTGTTTTAAAAAATCATGTTTTATGACCCAGGAGTTGGCTGTATGAGAAACAGGCAGCAAGAAATGGAAAGATTAGCTGGTTACTAACACCTCTGGATATTTCCTCCCACTTCTTAATGTATCTGTCTTTTTATTGATGAAATGACACAGAGACTCACAAAGTGAAAATGTTAGTCACAGTCACCCCTATGGCTTTTGAAAGATCTAATTGCTCATGAAATTTTAACCACTTGAATTATGAATGACTTCCTAAATAAAAAAATGACCTCCACTGGGTTGGGGGGTACTCCCACTGGAATTAGGAGAGACAGTCTTTGACTTGCTGTGTCCTGTTTTGTCATGAACTAGGCAGCTGCTGTGAGTACACTGAACTAAGGCACAAACATGTCAGGTGAGCTTTGGCATACCCTTTTCACCACACCCTAAACTACATGTGTTTTTTATGGAAGTGGTTTTAAATGACTGTTGGATTTCTAGATAAGACAATAAGAGCCTGTTTCATTTGTAGAATAACTGAGACCCTACAGGGTAATGGAGAAAGGTAAAGGGAAAAGAATAAAGCAGAAAAGCAGTTCTCAGAGATCAGTGTTTTAGTGGTGTTATAGTGCTACGCCTAGGTAGGGGCTGGACACAGGGAAAATTATAAGATGTGGTTGACCTACTCTATTTCCCAAAATATATATTCAGATAAAATTAAATCTTAAGTAAGGGCCATTTTAAATATGAAAAAAAGCACCAAAGAGCCACATTTACTCTGAGGGTGGAGTACATGTGTTCCCTTGGTGATTTTAGTTTGTTTTTTTTTTTTGCACCTTTTCAGCATTCTTGGAATATAGGAATCAGAATTCCTTGTAACATTCCTGGAATAGCTATACCATAAATTTGCAAGCTCCACATGCATACTGTGGAGGCAAAGTCAGGCAGACAATGATGTACCTACCCTGAAATCCAACCACGAGGAAACAATTCTATTTAAAGGGATCTTTTTGTTTAGTGATAGAGATCCAACTCAAATTAGGTTAAGGGTCAAAGAGAATGTAATGGCTCAATTAATTGTAAAGTCCAAAGGCCAGGTTGGTTTTAGATAGGGTTCTGGTTTGCCTGGACCAGTCTCAATTTGTGCCTGTTGTCCTGACTTAGGTATTACTAGCAGCCCCTTTTACTCTCGAAAGTGTCCTGGTTTGGGGCATAAAATATATGATAATATTAACTTTAGGTTTAGAGTTCAAATGCAAGGAGTTCAATGAATGTGTCAAGATTCTTTTTATCTCCCTGTTTAACTTTAGGTTTAGAGTTCAAATGCAAGGAGTTCAAAGAATGTGTCAAGATTCTTTTTATCTCCCTGTTTTGTTTTGGCTCTTTGTGCTTCTGTGTTTGGCTTTATTCTCAAATGGGGTAGACATGGGTGGAAACTGGCCATTGGCATCTCCATCCTTCTGCCTTGCAACCTCCCATCAGTGTCTCCCGTCGGCTGTAGCCAGCCAGAAGCCAGCGGAGCCAGGAGCCTGTGGGGCTCATTCCCCTGCGATATGGAGCTCAGCAGGGGGAGGGAGAGGAAAGGACCTAAGAACTGGCACACCTTGCTTGGTCGTGTGCCCACAGGCGTTGTGTTCAGCCTGGGTCACATACCCGCTGTGAAGTGGAGGAATGGGGGACGGCTTGGTTGACAGGATATCCTGAAGTGGAGAAAGGACAGTTATACCAAGCATGGGATGCTGGCAGCATCCACTACATCGCCTGACAAAATACAAGTACCCTCTAGGAAGGCAACCAACAACCTTTAGGCTCATCACTCATTTTACTCTGAATAAGCCTATTAGATCCTTGTCTGAGCAGGGTTTGAATGGGGTGGGTAAGGAAAGCAAGAACTTATTTGTTGCCTTGGGAGTTGAGGAGCAAGGATAGAGACTGTAGAAGTGGAAGAGTGACTTACTTAAAGAAAATTTCAGGAAAGGAAAACTGAGATTACTGCAGAACTGGTTTTTGTGATCTTATATGAGGCCAACTTTTGTGGTTCTGATTTATATTGTGTGATAACAGCGCCCTTTAGCCTTTTGATTGTGGCAGCACATGTAGTTTCTTTGGAAACAAATCACCCTGACCTTTGAATTTCCTTTCCTGGGTCTTAACTGTCAGTTCAGAGCTCACTCTTTAATTGCAAGAGTCTGGATTGCTTTTTTCCCCCCCCCAAACTCTTCTCATTTTAAAGTTTATCTTGCCTTTCTTTCTTCCTTTTATTTTCTCCCTTTTTTTTTTTTTTCTTCCCCGAACTCTTCCCATTTTAAAGTTTATCTTGCCTTTCTTTCTTTTTTCTGTCACCAACAAATAGAGATTATTCTCGAGGTCATTGCTATCAGTTGGTCATTGCCTCATCAGAAGAGCTTGGCATTCTTTGCAAACATTTGGGAAACCCTGGCCAAAAGTGTTGACTAGATTATATCAGCCTGTCAACCATAGGAGCTCTCTGGTTCTCTGGAACCTCCTTAATGTGACCCTGGGGCTTTAAGTACCTGGCTGGCAGATTAGGTCCAAGACAGAGCCACTAGGATTATGTGTAGAACCTGCGGGCAAAGGTTCAGGGGTGGAGATGGGGCAGGTTACATTTACATTTATATTTTTAAAACACTGTGTTCACCATCTTATAACGATTTTAAAAGATACTCACAGAGTATATATTTTTAAAAGCAAAATCCACAATTCCCTATCCAAACATATTAATAATGTCTGTTTTGTCATGTTCCCTTATGCTCTTTGTTTGATTGTATAAGAATTTTACATAACTGTAATTATCTATATATGTAAAAGCCTAAGCTGACTGGCCAACCAGCTGACCGACCAGTCGCTATGACTCACACTGACCACCAGGGGGCAGACGCTCAATGCAGGAGCTGCCAAGCTGCCGTCACTTGGCAGTGGCGGTCCTCGGGTGACACACCTGGAACCAGAGGGAGGGAGCCGCCCAATTCTGGGGTGCTTCACCTGATAACCACCCTCTTGCAATCCAGGACCCCTCAGGGGATGTCAGAGAGCCAGTTTTGGCCCGATCCCCGCAGGCCAGGCTGAGGGACCCCACCAGTGCATGAATCGGTGCACGGGGCCTCTAGTAGCTAAAAAAAAAAAACTTATTCTGATTATTACTTTAAATCACCTACTAATGAAATCCTTATAATAATTAATGATTGCATAATTTGGTATAGTTTACTAAGTTGTTTTATTACTGGATACTTATATCATTTCCATTTTTAATATTATAGTGTTGAATGAGTTAGTACCTATATTTTTCCTTTCTTTTTAATTATTTCCTTAAGATAAATTCTCAGGAGTTCCTTTTCATTAGAGTAATTTGGTGAAAATATTTCCTTCATTTTATTATTTTATTCTCTTTTTAATATAATAAAATGCCCCCTCTGCATTTAATTTTAAATATCCAAAAGATTTAGAAAGGATTTAGCAATTTTTGAGTTTATGTGTCCTCATATAGGCAGATTATTTTTTATTTAGGGTTAAGGAATATGTTAGGGACTATGTAAGAAGCTTTTAAAATGAAGAACAGGGGCATAAATATGCCAACCAAAGACAAACGAATCATGTGTGACAGGCACATGACATGTCTAACCCTTCATTACATCATTCAGCAGTTGGATGAGGTTCTATGACAAAGTTATTTTTCCCTCTCAAATACATTTTTTGACTGTTTTTGTCCATCTACCTTTTCTTAAAAATAAAACATTAAATCTTGGAGGAGAGAGGAATAAGCTTTATTAACAATTATTGATTAACACACACAAAAGATTCAAAGTAGTGTTATGTATGCATCATCTATATTACTTTATTTACATATAGGTACAGTATTAAAATGTGTATTTGAAAATAATATATAACAGTTGCTGAAAAACTGATTAAGTAAGAAAATCAG